TTGTTTTTCAAATGCTTCTTAGATTTCTGAGGAAAACGAGAGTATACAGTAAAAGAGGGGCCTGGCTGAATACAGCTCTTCATTCTCCCAGACCAGCCCCTTCTTTGGGATCTACTTTACCAAGTCGACAGCATTTATTTCCATGAGCCCCAGGAAGACCAGGATGGCTCCGGGAGAGCTAGGCCCTGGGCTTCCCCTAGGCCTCCTGCAGCATCAGCAACACAGCCTGGCTGCTTTCAATTAGTCTTATTCCCAGCCTTGAATCCCAGCTGTGCTCTGGGTAGCACAACATGTGAGGCTTGCTGAGGAAACAAAGGACACGACCACAACAGATGTGGGTCAAGTAGGACTTCATTGTAAACTCCCTTCCCTTCTGCAGCCAGGTGCTTCTGTAGGCCCACCCCATTAAAACAGATTCCCAAAGCCAACTCCTGCTTTTCCCTCTCCACGAGGTCCTGGCACTCACTCCGGGCTAGCCAAACCTCTAAGCTTTTCCCCTTGGTGGGCACGGGGACTTTCACAGTAAACTTTGGGGACAAAAGGAAAAATGAATTCACGGGCTCCTTCCCCACCCCCATCTTTCCCACTTCAGTTGCACAAAGGGGCTGAACTCTCCCTCTGCCCAGGACCTGGCCCCTCTCAGAGTCCAAACTGTCAGGAAGCTGGTGGCTGTGAGCTCCCTCTCCTTTTGGGGTCTAGGGCCCAGCCACAAGAGGCCAGCATCCCAGACAAATGCAGGATGGACAAAGAGGATGCAAACAGGATGGTATTACCATGTTAATGGCTTGAGTCCAGAGGCCTCCTGAAGATGGTGGGGGGGGGGGGGGGCTTTCTTTTACTTTTTCTTTTCTTTTCTTTTTTTGCAAAAGGAGAATAGTTCCGCTTTCTATTTTACTACAACAATAGCATGGACCGGCTCCTTCAAGTGTTTCAAAAAGCTGCCTGAGAAATCTCTAACCAGCCCCTCAGTCTCTCAAGCCTGCCGTTTTATTGTCCCTCCCATCCCAGTGAACAAAGGGGAGGGAAGGATATAAGGACCGCAGTTGCTGACTGTTCTCAGCATCCTAATCCTTGAGAACCAGTGGGGGGAATGGCCCGTGGAGCCGGTAAATAGAATTTTGTCCCCACCTTTTATTCCCTCCCTCTGCTTGTGCACTCAGGAGTTCTTCAGGTATTATAAGACCTCCTGGTTAGCATGCTGGTAGGAAGCTTGGGGCTTGCTAAGGGATAAAAGGCTCCGAGAGATCATTCCCATATTCACTAAGAGCACCCACCCCCCACCCCAAGGGTAGCCTCTTGAGATCGTTCTTCCTACCTCTTCAGGCTGGCTCTGTCACCAGAGACTGAGTGTCAAGCCACAGTGGCTGGCAGCTTCTCCTACAGTTGGTGGCACAGGAGCTGCCCTCAGTCTCCCAGCCCCTCCCCTCTGTCTTTATACCCCTCAGACATGGATTGCATAGCCCACTCAGAGCTCCAGGTATTGACCTTCATGCCCACTCGGGCTATCATGCCAGAGCCACCTCTCACACAAGGAAAGCTTCTTGACCTTGACTGCTGGTACCTTTCCAAATTTACCACCCAAGGATCAAGGGTTTCTTTGCTTTAAACCTGGGGAACTGTGCAGGTGTCTTTTAGTTCAGTCATCTGGTAAGAATGGGGAAAAAATAAGCTTTTATGTTCCACTGTGTGAAAAATCTCAACGTACAACTGTACTGAGCTATGTGAATAAAAGACATCATCTCCTAGGAGAATCAGATAAAGCTGAGGTGAGAAAGTCATTAGAGAACATCCAAGCTGGTGACAAATCCAAGTAAGAAAAACGTTTTACACTGCAACCCCCATAGAAACTCACAATGACACATACACAATCACACAACAAATATGTCATGAAATGATACAATATGTGTGATATAATCTGATAGTTTCTATTATCTATTTCTTTTTTCTTTCTTTCTCTATACCTCTCTTTCTTTCTAAATGTTGGTTGTGATTCATCATTTTCAATTCATGACCCTATGAATGCGTTGCAACCCAGTTTTCTTTTCTTTTTTGGAGGCTGGCTGGTGTGGGGATCTGAACCTGTGACCTTAGTGTTATAAGGCTACATTCTAACCAACTGAGCTAACTGGCCAGCCCCGCAACCCAGTTTTTGAAGGCTTGAATCAAGGTTAACATTTTCATTTTCAAGCTGACAAAACTAGGGGCCTGGAGATTTTCTCAAGATCTGGAACTGAAATCCAAGGGTTCTTTCCAATAAAGGAGGTGTTGGGACTCAGAAAGTGATACCCAAAGCATGGCTCTTTGGCACGTGGAGTGTTTTGAACTAAAGGAGAACCAAAGTCTCTCTGAACTTGTCCTGCTTTCCTGCACCTCATCCCTCTTTCTACCCCAAAGCATGGGAGAGGCTTTCCCTGAATTTCCCTTGTCTGCCTTGAGACCCGATCCTCCAGAAAGAATTCAATTGTACTGTTTCCCACCCTCTCCCCCAGGAATCCCATTAGCCAGGGAGATTGACTTATATCACAGGAAAGAAGACCTAAGATTAATACCACGCCCAGACAGACTTTGTCTCAGGCTATCACCTGTTCTTTGGGCCCATTCATTCTCTTCCTCAAATCATTTGCTCTCCCTTAAATTGCCTATGTCCCCCTTCCTCTCTCCCTTATAGAGTATATAAGCTTCTAAATTTCACTGGGTTGTTGGGTACTCCCTTTTCTTTCTCATGATGCCCCTGTTCATGTAATAAATTTGTAAACCTATACTTCTGTTAACTTGTCTACTGTGAGTTTATTTCATAGACTCAAAGGATCAAAACTTCAGAGGGTGAAGGGAAAGTTCCCTTTGCCCCTTCAGAGGGACCCCCTTTTTGTTTTCCCAAAGTCTTTGGGAGCACATAGTAAGAGGGCAGGGAGTGCCAAAAGGTTTGTATTCAGTGGCATTGCTGACAGGAGCAGAAGGGTTCTACTGCTGCAAGAACCTCAGAGAGATAAGTGTAGCTTGGGGCAGTGAGATGGAGAAAACAACTTAGAAAGCAACCAGGTTGAGGTTCTGAGCTCTCACAGGCATTTTTATTTACTGGTTGGGTTTCCTGCATCATAAGACATTTTTCCTGAATTTTTCTCTTCCTTGGACATGCAACTCCAGGTCAACCCTCCTTTAGTAATCTACTTTTGCCCCTGTTTTCCAAATTTTTCTAATAGTCATTACTTGCAGTTTTTCAGCCTCTACCAACTCATTGTATTTCCAGTCTCTACTTTTTCTAAACAACTTCTTCCCTGTCAAAATCATGTTGTTAGCAATGAGCATCAGAGAGGCAACTTAGTGAATCTTATTCCCACAAATATTATCCCAGAAGTTACCCAAATTAGACCAGGCTTGGCAATGCTGTTAACCAAAATGCCCAGTGCTCCAGGTTCAAGCAGCATTTTAAGGCTCTCAGTAAGAGCTATCTGGGCAGAACTGACTCTTTTCCTCCTGAAATTATCTTGTAATCTTTTATAGAATTTCTTGAAATTGTCACCTAGATTTGCTATTTACTCGACTTCTAATCTTCTAAGAAAGCCTCTAAAATGAAGAGCTGAAAGCCACACGGTACACTGGGTAAATAAAAGTCCAGCTTTCTGATTGCTTATTAGTTACACACTCAGAGTGTATGTAACAAAGGGGCCTGCTGTTTGCTTTGCTTAATCTGGTTTTAAAATCTCAGCTGCTTTGTCACAAAACAATATTTGCAATTGTAAAAAAAAAATATTTACCAACGAACTTGGATAGCATAAGTCAAAGGCTAAGAACCAAAGGTCAGTAGTTCTTACCCCAAATTCTGTGGACCTGAGGGTCCCTGCTGTGGAGCTCAGCTGCACCAAACACACATGCTGCTTTGTGGGTCCATTAAGAAGCAGACATTTTAGAAGGGGAGAGGAAGGCTGTAGCCTGTTCCTCCATCAGAAGAATGAACTCCCCAGCCTGCCCACAGCACCCCTGCAACATCTTTGCAATTCAGTGTGTCTCCATGGGGGTACTGCAGGGAGTGCCCTGTTTCATGAATCTGGGAAAAATACTCAACTTACAGAATCCTACAGGACAGATATTCCTTCCATAGACAGTGATGGCAATATGCACCTCCATGGTTCAGGCCAGATGTTCACCTATGCATCTCTGCAGGTGGGGCTTCTTGCCTGACAGGGGATACAGATGTGTATCCTGAGCACTTCTGTGAGGACCCTTCTTAATCCACAAAGCAGTTTCAGACATCTGATCCCGTGGGCTAATTCTTCTAAGTCTAATGGTGTTTGAATTTACTCTTTCAGGTTAATTACTTTCTGAAAAGCCCTACAATCGGGTGCCTTTCCTAACCACCAGGGCATCCAGCACCTGGGAATGAACCACCACTGTAGCTCAGTGAGTTCTAGGTGTGGCCTTGGGGTGCTCCACCTTGAACAAGACTTCAGCTCCTTCCAAGGCCGTGTCACACGGCGCAAGTCAGCAATGCCTGGTCCCCAGCAGAAGGGCACTGTCAGGACTTGAGCACAGGGAAAGGGAATGGAGTAACCAGAAGGAGGCCAAAGAAGTTGGTTCATGGAGCCAGGACACAGTGCCTCACAGGCTGCCGCCCTAGATGGTTCTCCAGCTTGCTGAGCGAGAGGACTCTGAGGCAGCGCTGGCTCCTCCGCACTGGTGTCAGAGACTCGTTGCCCACTTCACTCCACAGGATTTGAGAAGAGGACTGGGGTGGTGGCATTCCTCACTTTCTGAATTTGACTCTCATTTTTTGGTTATCTCACTCTGTTATGAAATTCTGTAGTTTTCTTTCATCCCCACCTTAATCTTCTGACAGATTCTTGCTACAATTGCCAATGTCTTCATTTTATCAGGGTAAATATCACTGACCTTTGATTCTCTCCTGAAATAGCTTCTCTCAGGATCATGGCAGTAATTACCACTAGCAATGGGCAGCACTGAGTGTGATCAGCTTAAAGAAATGGCTAAATCCAGGATCTTACCTTGAAGAACCAGACCTTCCTCCTTGATGGTGTAGATAAATGAGGTGAAGGGAGCCAGTGGGGACTTAGCAATGAGAATCTGCACATAAAGTAAATTTTTCTAGGGTTAGTCAAAGGATCAGGGATGAGCCTCTATTCACTCCCCTTCCCACTTCAAGACAAAGTGGTAACATATGACTAGAAGTCATAAGGTTTATTTTTTTAAAAAACTATTTTAGAACCAAATGTTCAAATGAGTGTTATTCTTTCAAGGTGGTCATCTTGGAAAGTTGTATATTTATTCTAACTGTTTTGCCATTGAATGCCATATTCCTGAACCAGTTCTTCTAGAAATAAGTTGTATTATTTTGTCACATGTTAATTTTATTCATAAACTTAGCTATTTCACACACAAAAAGAAAAAAAATTAAAGCTACACTTAAAAGATTAACCATTATTGCAAATATTCAGAATAATCCACCAATGGTAGGTTGCTTTGTTGGTCCCAGTCCTGCACCAAATCTGTATTTAGTATATTTTCCCTTACTTAAGGTGTACAGCAGTTTCCATGGCCCTTGACTGTGGGTTTGGCCACATGACTTGCTTTGGACAGATAATAGGTTGTGCCAGTTCTTAGCCTAGACCTCAGCTATTTCCACTTGTTCTCTTATGCTTCTGCCATTTGCAGAGAAAATTATATCCAAGCTAGCCTGCTATCTCAGAAGGAAGGTAAGAGAGAAATACCTGGAATGGAGCTGGCCAACAAGGCCTAGCCTTAAATAGTTCACCCCCTGGAGAAACACATATACATTTGTTAAATATTGCTGCATATCTCTGAGATTTTGGTAGTGGTATTATAAAGCATATTGTAGTAAGAGTTGACTGATATAAAAGCCCAAACAAAATATCAAAAATGTTTTGAACAGCTCATTCTCCTAAGACAACATCTGTTTTAAAGGAGATGGTCATTTGGTCATTTAAAAACTCAGTATCATTAACCTATTATCACACCTCATATGGTTCTATGGAACCTCTAAGAATTGGTGGATTATTATATTATAATATTTCTACTGATGGAAGATGAATATCAGTTTCCTGTTTTACAAATTAAAATAACATCATCAAAATAGTGACAGTTTGGCACAGAACCACTTAGGTAACCAGGGAGGCAAGGGAGAAGGAAGAAATAATTTCAAATAACCAAAAGGCTTACACATCATATTTCAACTTATCTCAATTCAACAAACATTTACTGACTGTCAACTATGAGAAGTGCTGGAAAAAGTGTGGTGGAAAGGTCACAGGTTTTAGTCGTGGGGTTTGAATCTAGCTCTTCCACTAGTCAACTAGGTGCAGAGCCTGCATTTTTTCCCCTAGGAGCCATTCCCTTTCTTCCTTTTAGTAAATAACTCCCCAGGTTTCAACATTTCTCTGCCTCTTTTGCAATGAGGTGTGGTCATGTGACCAAGCTTTGACTAACGGAATATGAGTACAAATGACAGGCAGAGCTTCTGGATTATGCTTTCATAAGAAACATGCATGCCCTTCACCTTCCCCTTCCCCATTCCCAAGGGCAGGAACCAGCTTCAACCACGTGAAAGTGGACAGCATCCTGGTGATGACAAAGCAACATGGGATGAGGAACTGGGTGACCTCAGAGAACATCAATGCCTCCCACCTGGGTCACCTGTCCCCTCAGGACAGAGCCACCTGTCTCATCCACTGTATTTCAATGTCTTTGTTACTATAGTGCAGCCTGAACTCTAACCAATACTGTAACTCTGGACAACCTAAGTTTTGGAGTTTCTGTTTCCACACATGTAAATGTGATAGAAACACCCATCTAATAAGTGCAATTATTATGAGGATTAAATTAAGTCTGTAAAATGCCTGTCACTGTGTCAAATACACAGTAGGTACATAATAAATAACAGAAAGATTTCCAATCAATCTATCACATATGCTTCCCAACTACCCTTTAACTCTCACTCACCAAAAAACAATATACTTTGCTTTTACCAGAAGGAAGTCTCCAATTGATTCTCAATAATTTTTACAACTGCTCTAAAGTTATCTAGATAAACTTGCTCACCATTCTCAGGACCAGTGAGTAGAAGGTATAGGTGAGCATTTACACTTTTGTGTCAAAAGCATCTCATCTGAAAATTAAGGTGGATCCTTTTCTGACTGAGGTAGTTTGGCGATGGTTCAATGTGAAGTTTAAGGAAGCCCCTTAGTAGGGGAATGGCATGGTGGAAGAAAGGACAATGCTTCTCAAACTTTAATGTGTATGAATCACCCGCTTTGACATGCAGATTTTGACTCAAGAGGTTCTGAGTGGGGCCTGAGAGCCTGTATTTCTAACAAGCTACCCAAAGATGCTGATGCTGTGGTCCATAGACCACATTTTGAGCTACTGGATTCCAGGCAATTGGACTAATTGAAGAGTCTAAGATGAAGAGGCAAGAGATGGGAGGCCTTGAACCAGTTAGAAGACTACTGCAATAATTCAGTGATGAGATGACAAGGGCCTAAACCACAACTGTGTCAGAAAGATGAGAGAAAAGGAAATGGATAAGAGAAATATAAATCCTTTAGATCAAATAGCAGTGAAAATGAACTAGACATACCCCAAATCTCAAATCTTTATTGTCTGTATACAGCAACTGAACATAAGACCAAAAGGGTATAAAAAAATAACAATGAAGTATCATACTATATATGATATAATGAAAATCATTTTACCATTTTTATTTATAGACTGCAGAAGCCGAGACCCAGAAAAAAAGAATGTTATATTCAATGTGGTGTAATCATGGCATCTGATCCTAAGCCTTCGAACTCTGTGGTGCTACCTCCACCACCTAAGGCTCACTCTACAAACAAGCCTGGAGCCCCAGCCAGGAGGATCTCACACCTGGAGGGACCTTTCTGCAGGGACTCAAAGGGTTTGTACAGGTCACTGATTAATGCTCTGTCCTTCTGGAGCAGTGTTTAAAATGAGTCACCGAGAGGATGATTTGTGTGCAGTTAGAAAGAGGAAGTGATAAGTAAGTCAGATGAATACCACTTCTTTTTTTTTTTTTTGAAAGGACTTCCAGATTGATAGATCAGAGGACTACCATCAACATGATATATCTGATTTCAGCAAAAAATGTGACAAACTCTTTTGATAGCCTTCTGGATAAAATGAAGACAAGTTGAGCCGGATGCTAATACCTTTAAGTAGATTTGTGGTGACCAAAGATCAGTAGCAATCCAGTGAGGGAGCACAACCTCTAGTAGAATGTACTGAATTCTAGCCTTGGTCCTGTCACATGCCACAGTCTTACTAATCTGGATGAGGATGCTGATGTATTCAACTACATCCATACAACGAATATGGAATTCAGGCAAGGAATAGAACTGATAAAAATTGCTGCCCTAACAGAGCTCACATTGTAAAGGAGGCAAAAAGATAATAAACAAAATAAATATTTAAAATATTAGGTATGTTAGATGATTATATGTGCTATGGAGAAAAAAAGCAGAGAAAGGGCATTAGAAGTGTACTGGATCCAAGGAGGGGGTCAATTTTAAATAAAGACCTCCTTGAACAGGTGACATTTGTCCTTGTGGATTATGTAACTAAACTCATTGATGGGATGCTGAATGGATGGGAAGGTAATGGAAGACAAAAAATTTAGAGAAAGAGTTCATATATTGGATTAGACACTCATGATATCAAAACAAATCTCATTTTGGTTAGAATTTGGGGCAAATCCCACATATCTTTCAGGATGCAGTTTTATTGAAATAAATGTAAGGCCTTGTCTTTGACAACAGTGCACAAACTATTGGTTACAGAATCAGGAATGTTGGTTAACTGCAGTTCAATATGAGTCAGCTAAGAGGTGTAATTCTAAAAAATCCAGTGTGGTCTCAGGTTACATCAATGGAGATACAGTATCTGGAACAAGGGAGGGGATAGTCCTGCTATCCTTCTCATTCAGCAAACTGCACCTGATACAATGTGTTTAAATTGGGGTACAAATTTCAAAAGAGAAACTGATCAATAGGAGAACAACCAGAAGAGAGCCGTCAGTGTGGTTAGATCCCAAAGTGATCCATGACCACAAACACTTCAATGCAAACATGACGGTAAGCAGCCTGGGGTGAAGGTGCACATTGCTTTTAAGATTAGTTTTCTGATCTGGAGATTCTGTAGTGTTATACTAGTGAAGGAAAGTGTGCACTAGCTTTCTAGCCCAATAGATTTCAGGGAAAAAAAAAGTGATGCTTGCCATATATCTTTGTGAATACACATAGATTTCTCTCTTTTTAAGGTCTGAATCAACACCCCATGCCTTTGTGCCATTCTGTCATTCAAACTATAAACTATCCTCTTATAAAGCAAACAACCCCCCTTTCCTCCCAGATAATTGAGGCAGTTCTGTTTCAGATGTTCAGCCATCCCATAAATTTGGAGTGTTCTAATCATTGTCTGACGGGCTGTTGAAGTGTCATTCTGCCTTCTCCAGTACATAATTCCCTGCAGGGAGGCTTAGCAGCCTAATAAAACTCCAGGGCCCTAGTGAAAAATTCTGATCACACTCAACCCTGCGTGCAATATGTGAAGCTGGCTTTGGAACTCTGTGAGTGTTCACAGAAATATGTAATTGAGCAAGGATGAGTGTAGACACACATATGGCTTAGAAAGCCTGGAGCTCCATGTGGTAGGTATGTGGTATTGTGAGCTGTTAATCCCACCTCCCAGAAATAGCCAAATTGTTTTTTCTTGGATGTTTTCTTCATATCAGACCAGCTCAACTTTAACTGCATTATAAATATACTTTCTTCTCTCTTTACCAATTCTGTCAGGGAAAGTGGTCACCAATATTTTTAAGTTCTTTTGAGGGATATTTCAGGTATATTTAATACATGCTAGGTGCTGGGTCCCCAATCCCACCACCACCTGGAAGTAATTTCCATTATTTGTACCACCCACCCACCATCTATGCACTTATTCAATCCACAGATATTTACTGGGCTCTGCCCTCTGTGCCAGGCACTATTCTAGGTGCAGGGAATATAGTAGACGACAAGACAGAAAAGTCCCCA